CTTGGACCCCAAGGCCAACTTCTCCACCAACAACAGCAACCCAGGGACCCGACCACCAGCCCCGAGGGCCACTGCTCGGCTGCCACAGAGGGGCTGCCCTGGGGACGGGCCAGAGGCGGGCCGGCCAGCAGACAAGATCCAGATGGTGAGCACCCAGCCTGGCTGTGGGTGAGGCGGGGCAGGTCCCAAGGGGCCTGGAGCAGTGGGTCCTCGTGGTGCTGACGGGGGTGGGGGTGTGCCCAGCTGCAGGCCATGGTGCATGGGGTGACCACAGAGGAGTGCCAGGCGGCCCTGCAGAGCCACGGCTGGAGCGTGCAGAGGGCTGCCCAGTATCTGAAGGTACCGCCACCTCTTGCTCGCTCTGGCTTTTAGGGACCCTGAAGCCTGGTTCTGCTGCCCCCAGCCCCCCGCCCCCTGGCTCCAACTCTCCTCTTCCCCACCCTAGTTGGTGCCCTGGGTCCGCGTGTCCATGGCACCACCCTTACCCCCAGGTGGAGCAGCTCTTCGGGCTGGGTCTGCGGCCCAGAGGGGAGTGCCACAAAGTGCTGGAGATGTTCGACTGGAACCTGGAGCAGGCCGGCTGCCACCTTCTGGGCTCCTGGGGCCCTGCCCACCACAAGTGAGTGAGCCCCACCGTCTGCCACGCTGGGAGGAAGCCCAGCACCTCGCAGGCCACTCCCGGCCAGGGAGACACGGCTCTCCAGCTGCGGGAGGGAGGCGCGCACGGGGCTTAGGAAATCGTTTCTCCTAAATGTGTGTGTTTGGACGTTTTAGCCACTTGGTTTTCAAACAAGTACAAGAGGGAATTGGAGCCTCTCCAGTTGAAGAGACCTTGCTCCCCTAGCACCTGCAGCGACCCTGAGCGTTTCCAGGGAACGGTGCTTTAGGGCCCCGTGATTTACACACCCCTCTCTCACCTCTGTGTTTCCGTATTTCTGTTTAAAGTAACATTTAAAATTTCAATGTTGGCCGGGCACCGTGGCTCATGCCTGTAATCCCCAGCACTGTGGGAGGCCAAGGAGGGAGGATCACTGAGGTCAGGAGTTCGAGACCAGCCTGGCCAACATGGTGAGACCCCGTCTCTACTAAAAATACAAAATTTAGCTGGGTGTGGTGGTGGGCACCTGTAATCCCAGCTACTCGGGAGGCTGAGGCAGGAGAATGGCTTGAACCCGGGAGGCGGAGGTCGCTGTGAGCTGAGGTGGCGCCACCGCACGCCAGCCTGGGCGACAGAACGAGACTCTTGTCTCCAAAAAAAAAAAA